ACTTGACACTGGGAGGCAGAGGTTGTAGTGAGCTGATATCCACGTTGCTGCACTCCAGCCTGGGTAACAAGAGTGAAACTCCATCTCAAAAAAAAAAAAAAAAAAAAAGAATTGTAGTTAATATTCTGTTATTGTGTATACCACCATTTATATGCCTATTCTCCTATTGGTCAATTTAGTTTTTTTCAATTTTTAGCCATTTTAAATTTAAATTAGGCCACAATGAAGATCTTTGTGGATAAAACCTTTTTGTATTTAAGATTTTCCCCCCTTAGGTTATGTAATGCCAAAATCTTTTCAAAAGTATTAAAGCAATATAAATGATCACCCAGTAGTGAATGAGATTGTCTGCTTTACTAAGTAGTGACTAGAGTAACATTTTCCATCACCGTCAAGAAAACGTGGTAAGTATAAAAAGGTATACATAGGTATATATATATATATTTTTTTAAGCTGAGCGTGGTGGCTCATGCCTATAATTCCAGCACTTTGGGAGACTGAGGCGAGCAAAGTCTGCCTTCCAGGTTCAAGTGATTCTCCTGCCTCAGCCACCTGAGTAGCTGGGACTATAGGCATGTGCCACCACGACCAGCTAATTTTTTTTATTTTTAGTATAGATGGGGTTTCACCGTGTTGGTCAGGCTGGTCTCGAACTGCTGACCTCAGATAATCTGCCTGCCTCAGCCTCCCAAAGTGAGCCACCGCACCTGGCATACATTTATTTATTTTTAATTGACAGTAATTATAATAGTATATATTTTAAATTTGCATTTATTTACTATTGAGAAAATATTTTAAGTTTTTTAAATATCTCTCAATTTTTTAATAAATTCTGTAAATTTTTTTGATTAGTTCTTTTTGGATCATTAAAACAGATAATCTTAACATCTCTTCCAATCATTAGATTCTATGATTTATTCTGATTTCTTACTACTTATTAAAGATATGTTTTATTACAACATCATACCGCATTTCTCAACAAGAGGATAAATGACATTTCCCAAGTCACATGGCTGTTCATAAAGATGGGATTAGTATTTAAGCCTCCATAATTCAGTGTTCCAGTTCTAAAATAAAATACTGTTTTTCTTCCAGAGAAATTGTTGTTTTGCTTTATTAAAAAAATAGATTTTGTTGGTCAGGTGCGGTGGCTCATGCCTGTAATCCCAGCACTTTGGGAGGCTGAGATGAGTGGATCACCTGAGGTCAGAAGTTTGAGACCAGCCTGGCCAACATGGTGAAACCCTGTCTCTACTGAAAATATAAAAACTAGCTGGGCGTGGTGGTGGGCACCTGTAATCCCAGCTCCTCAGGAGGCTAAGGCAGGAGAGTTGTTTGAACCCAGGAGATGGAGGTTGCAGTGAGCCGACAAGGTGCCACTGCACTCCAGCCTCAGTGACAGAGTAAGACTCTGTCTCAAAAAAAAAAAAAAAAATTTTATCATTAAGGAGTTTATTTTCTATAGTTTTATTAATTCCACTTTGCAATAGAAGTAATAAAAGCACTCAAGGTATTAAAGAAATCCAAAGCTGTTACTAAGTGTCCCCACCTTTAACCATTCATATGAGACGTAATTTACAAACAGGTAGTTGGTCACTTCTTTCTACACTAGTTGAACTCTTAATTTTATATGACTTAATAATTCACTCTTGGTTCATAATTTAAAAGGTACCAAATACTATAAGTGAAAGTCTCCTTTCCACTACTGTGCTTTAGCTACAAGTTTACCTTGCTAATAAAAAATCTGATGTTATCCATTCCTTGGAATGTCTTCCAGAAAGTTAGATATAGTCTTTGCATGTCCAAGCAGATGATTATCCTGCTTCCACCTTTAAGATATATAGTGTAGCCCACTGTGTCTGTAACTTATCTTGGCGATCACTAGTTTGTTCTTTTTTTTTTTTTTTTTTGAGATGGAGTCTCGCTCTGTCAATCAGGCTGGAGCGCAGTGGTGCAGTCTCACTGCAAGCTCCACCTCCTGGATTCAGGCCGTTCTCTTGCCTCAGCCTCCTGAGTAGCTGGGATTACAGGCACCCGCCACCATGCCCAGCTAATTTTTTGTATTTTTAGTAGAGACGGGGTTTCACCGCGTTAGCCAGGATGGTCTCGATCTCCTGACCTCGTGATCTGCCTGCCTTGACCTCCCGAAGTGCTGGAATTAACAGGCGTGAGCCACCGCGCCCGGCCACTAATTTGTTCTTAATTGTTGCAACCTATTTAATTATGTCTGAATTACAATTTGTTTTAGTAATCCCTTATTGAACATTTTAGGTATTTTCACTTTTTCTTTTGGCTGTTAGGGAAAAAAAGTGCTGCAGTACAATTGTACCTTGTACAATTTTCATTTTATATGTATACTACAGATGTGTTTTAGCCTATGCTTGTAGAACTGGAATTAGTGTGTGAGAGTCAGTGTTTTTTATTTTGACGGATATTGCCAAATGGCCTTCCATAAGGATTATATAAATATATACTCTCACCCACAGATACCAGACTCTCTCTGTATTCTCACCAAGATAGTGTCTTTTTTTTTTTTTTTTTTTTTT